GCTGGAGTGCTGCAGGTTGATGTACCCTGGCAGCTTTTGACCAATGTCTGGTGAGAACTGGTGTACCAATACCCCAGCTCACTGGATGGGATAACTCAAAGGTCTGTGTTCTACATTGGCCTCCAGTTTTGCCACAGGATTGATTTCCAGTCACCTCCGGTGGCGACTGTCTTGATAACATACCTTTATTGTCTTCCTTGTCCCACTTCCCCACTCACCTATCTGTGTTTCCCTCACCTCCTGTAACAGTGAGGTCCCTATAAGCAAAGCCGGAGACAAAGGTCCTCAGGGAAGAGGAGAGAGGGCTGTAGAATGGGGCAGGGGAAGGAGGTGAACAAGGATGCAGTCCTGGCTGGAGCCTGGCTTCAGCCTAATCCCTTGGGGGAACTTCTAGAGCACAAATTCTAACAAAGAGTTAGTGCCCCCTTCAAGTAAGGGGGCCAGCCTTTGGAACCCCACTTCAGTTAGACATTTCCTGAGGCTTTCCCTGAAGTGGTATGGTAGCATACAGCCTCCAAGCTGAGGCAGTGCCCATTTGGCCAAAGGCAGTAGTTGTTGAGAGATCACCTGTGAAGTGTTGGCAGCCAATACTGACAGCTGGAGGATGGATGTACCTGTCAGTATAGGGGATCCCAGGGAGCCCCAGAGCACCCAAAATGCCCCCCACTAAACCTACAGCCTAATCTCTGTCTCAGGGTCTGGTTCTGGGGTATAGAATAGGAGACAGGTTTTACCAAATATTGGGAGAATGGAAACTTCAGATTTCTTGACATTATATTCAAGTTCCTATTTGTCCACCTGATTCCAGGGGTTATTTTGGACAGTAGGGGAATTATCCAGAAAGGGACCCTTCTCTCTCCATCATTCATTTGGTGTGGAATGGTGCCTCTCCTTTTCAGCCTTCTCATTTTCACTGTCAGTCGTCTGCGGGTGTGGAGCTTTCTTCTTTCTGCTTGTATGCACCCCTCCACCCTCTGCGTCAGGTCTACATACTGAACAGTAATAGCTGCAATGACAAAAATTGCCAGGTATTACCAATATAGCCAGCTCCTTCCTCAGAAAGCCACCTTCCCACCCATTAGTCTGTGGGAAGAGGTATCTGTGGTGTTGTAGGGCTGGGTCTCTGACTTAACATTTTCTTCCTGGTAGCCTAGCCCGTCTGGGATACCATGTAGCACATCCCATCTCTATGGGGCCTTGACAGCCACCTAATTTTTGCCAGTCCCTGGCCCGAGAGAGCCAGATTCTGTTTCCACTAGTTCCAGTCAGCAACTGGTTCTGGAAAAGTTCTGCTCAATAGAGAGATGATGTAAACCACATATTTTCTAGTAACCACATTAAAAGGGTAAGACAAATAGGGGAAATTCATTTTAATGTTATTTAACTCAGGGTATTAAAAAAACCACCATTTCAACATGTCAAGACAAAATTATCAATAAGATACTTAATTTTTTTTCATATTAAGTCCTTGGATCTGGCATGTATTTTATACTGATGGTGCATTTCAATTTGGACTCGCTACATATCAAGTGCCTAATAGCCACATGGGGCTAATGGCTGCTGCATTGCAGAGTTCAGTTTCAGTCCCTGGTAGTAACTTGGCTTTGTTGACATGGCCTACCTGCGGGGTCTAGGCTAAACTAGAAAGCATGTGAAGCCAGAAATACCTGCTCTTTTTGGTGTGGGGCAGCTGGGTTGCGGCTGAGCCTGAGGTCATGATGAGGCTGAGGTGCAGTGATAGGTAGGGTGCTGGAGGCCTGGAGGTCCTGTCCAATGGGGGGTTTCCAGAGTTGGAGGCCATGGGAGACAAGCAGTTTCTGATGCTGGTGGCAGTCAAGAGGTGGTAAAGATATGGCACTTACCTGAGATGCTAGAGGAATGTTCAGAGCAGTGTTTTTAACACTTTTGAAACCATCCCAAGATACTAGCAGGGATTGGGAGAGATGGACAAGCTGTTAAACAGCTGAGGGCAATAAGGATAAGGACTGCCTCAATTATGTGAAGCCAGATGAAAGTAAATGGTGCTGATCTGTGACTTGTCTACTGAATATTAGGAAAGCCAACCATTCTTAATTCTAATTTTTTAAAAGGAAGATTTCAAAAGGCAAGAAGTGACAAACACACATTTAACCAGCATGCTTTCTATTGCATTGAGTCCTCAGTGTAGGTGTTAAAAAAAGGCACATGTTTTGTATTGACCTCTTTGAAAAGTACTTGTAGATTTTACCAATTAGCTGAGTGATCACCTAACAGTGTTTTGATCTGGACTGTATTTCTTGTTTTAATGATTAGCATTTCATTTCATACTTTAGACTCTTTGTGAAAAGCAAGATAAATTGCCCTTATTTCTTCCCCTTGATCAGCCACACATGGTGCTGCGTAAAGAAAATGATCATTTTTTTTTACTCTCAGATGCCTATTACCTGACTTTTGAGCAAAAAATACACTCACCTCATTCTTCAGCAATTACTGGGCTTGTCTAATTGACTCACTTAAAAATAATTTGAAACTCAGAATATTTTAACTTTCACTTTTGGTGTACTTCATTGAAAGAATAGAATTTTATAAAGAAGAGATTTTGTTTTTAATTTACCACAGTAGTATTCTGATATACTGTATGTGCTCAATAAATATTTTTGAATGAATGGATGAGTTGCATCATCTCACCATTTACCTTGTAAGGTCATCATTTTTTGATTTCAAAAAATACTGTTGTGTGTGTGTGTGTGTGTGTGTGTGTGTGTGTGTGCATATATATATATAGGCTTTCAAAAATAACAAATTATTTTTCTGGAGCAAATTCAGAATAAATAAAACATACACGCACACCAACCACTATGTGAAATATTATACAGTGTTCTCTCATTTGTTCTGCAAGTTGCCTTTTCACAGAATGCTGTATCGAAGATTCACCTATGTTAAGCACAAATAGTTCCACCTCATTTTTTTTTTTTTTTTTTTAGATGGAGTTTTCTTCTTCTTATCCAGGCTGGAGTGTAGTGGTGTGATCTTGGCTCACTGTAACCTCTGTCTCCTGGGTTCAAATGATTCCCCTGCCTCAGCCTCCCAAGTAGCCAAGATTACAGGCGTGTACCACCACACCAGGCTAATTTTGTATTTTTAGTAGAGACAGGGTTTCACCATGTTGGTCAGGGAGGTCTCCAACTCCTGACTTCAGGTGATTGGCCCACCTTGGCCTCTCAAAGTGCTGTGATTACAGGCACCGCTGCGCCTGGCCCACATCACTCTTTTCGACTGTTTCATGGTATTTGGTAGAATGGCTGGATCATAGGTTAGTCATTGCCTTAATGACAATGACTAAAGTTTGGTCAGTGGCTTAAGTAGCATCTAAGTTATTCTCAAATTTTTTTTTGTTTTGTTTTAAGATCTGTTAGACTGAATACCTTTGCACATTTTCGTCTTCTGTGGCTCCATGCTTGTTTCTCTAAATTGGTGCTGAGTAGTGAAATTGTAATTTATACACGTGTCCAGTTTAAGCTTTTGATGATCATTCCAAAATGCCCTACGGAGTAAAAATTTATTCCTCTACACTTCATACTTTTGCTATCCCTATCTTTGCCTATATTTAGTGTTAGTGAACATTTGCTTTCACCAGCTTGTTTGAAAAATTACATCTATTTTATGTTGGTGAGGTAATTTTTCTATGGCAAATATATACAAAATAATATATGCATATATATGAATACACAATTCAAATATTAATAAAACAGGCACCCAAGTCCCTACCGTTCAGCTAAATATTGTCTTAGCATTATCTCTTGATCCTTTCTGATTGTGCAGCAACAATTCACTCAGTTTTGCTCCTGTATAAGAATACACCATGATTTTTCTATTTTACAGTGATGGACATTTGGGTTATTTCCTGTTAGGGACTCTGAGCCTATAAGCTTTCTTGTGGCTGACTCCTGGCATAGATGTGCAAAAGCATTGCTAAGGTATTCCTAGTCATGAAATTGCTGAGTTCTGGGTATAGTGGAGACTGACAAAAATGAATTTTGTCTGCCCAAATTCATTTTCCCCATCTTACACATGGGCGTTCATCTAGACTACATTTCCCAGCCTCCCCCTCCCTTTTAGTTGGATATGGCTATGTGACTACATCCTCACTAGTAGAATTTAAGCAGCTTTCAATTCTGCTAGGTTAGGATCAGAGCCTTAGGGTGGTGGGTGTACCTTCTCCATGCTTTCTTCTCTTTTCCACCTAGACAAAACCAAAACATGGTGGTGAACCAACTTAAATTTTGTAGAAATTGACTTAGAACCGATTACCTCAATGACCATGAGGATCAAAGGTGTCCCACTGACCAGACTGTAAACTTCGGAACTGATATGTGAGAGAGAGAGACTTCTTTACTTTAAAGCCATTTATTGTTAGTGTCTTTATGATGTCAGCCTGTACTTACTCTAGTTAATACAAAAGAAGCACATGTTAAACTTCACTGAGGGATGCCATACTCCTATCCAAAAGGTTTAAATCTATTTACACTCCCTGGCATTTTACGACAGCTCTTGCTGCTCCCTATCCTACCAACCCTAGCTATTGTCTGACTTTATTATGTTTACCTATCAGTGGGTGAGAAGCATTATCTCCATGTTGTTTTCATTATCAAATGAGGTTGTACATTTTTTCAGATATTGTTAGCTTATTCATAGTTACTTGTATCTGAAATGTCTATTTGAATCTTTTGCCCCCCTTTTAACACTGGGTGCTTTTTTATAGTCAAAATATATAAAATTTTCATTAGAGTCATTTTAACTGTATAATTCACAATGCTGCACAATCATCACCACTATTTACTTCCAAAGCCCTTTTGTCACTCTAAACAGAAGCTCTATACTCATTAAGCAATAACTCCCAATTCCTCTGTCCCCCACCATCCCCCTGGTTACCAGTAACCTTGCTATCTTTGTGAAATCACCTATTCTAGATATTTCATATAAGTGAAGTCATACAGCATTTATCCTTTTGTATGTGGTGTAAAAATATGGAGTGCTTCACAGATTTGCATGTTACCTTTACAGAGGGGTCATGCTAATCTGTATCATTCCAAATTCAGTATATGTGTTGTCAAAGTGAGCACTTGGGTGCTTTTGATGCATTTATTTCATATTGATTTATGGAAAATTTTTAATATATTCTAAATACCAATACTTTTAAAATTAAGTTGCAGATATTTTCTCTCATTGTATGGCTTACCTATGTTTATGGTGTCTTTTTGCATCAAAGTTTTCATTTTGTTAGTCAAGTATATCTGTGTTTTCTTTTGTAGTTTGTGCTTCTTGTGTTCTGTTTATGAAATTCTCCTCCTTACAGCCCACTTCATTGAGCTATTCTCCTATGTCATATGTAAAAATATTATGCAGTCTTCCATTTAATATTGGTTTTCAATCCACCTGGATTGATATTTATATGAGAAAGGAATCTAATTTTATTTTTCAAATTGTCTCACCAATGCTTATTGAAGCGTTTATTCTTGCTCACCACTTTGTAATGGTTCCCTTGACATGGATTTTTTCATATATACATTGGTCCTAAATCTCTATATCATTCCATATTGTTTTAATTATGGTAGCGTTATAGTAAGTTTTGATAGTTGGGTAAGGCAAGGCCTTCCATTCTGTTTGTCTTCAAAATTGTCTTCATTATTCTTGCCTTTGCCTTTGAATTTTAGGGTTAAATTGTCAAATTCTTCAAAAATATTATGGGTATTTTTCTGTACTTGCCTTGAATCTATAGGAAAAACTGGGGAGAATAGCCATGAGATTTCTCCCCCATAAAATAGTATACCTCTCCAGTTATTTAAATGTTGTTTAATAAAGTCTTTTATTATTATTTTTTAATTTGCCTCATTTCTGGATTTTAATAATGTTTTACATATTTTTTCTGTACAGGCCTTTAAAAACTTTCTTAGGATTTGTTCCAAGATATATTAGAGTGTTTATTGCCATTAAAAATGCTGAATTATTGACATGGACACAAAGATGGGAACAATAAACACTGGGGATGGCTTGAGTGGGGAAGGCAGGAAGGGGTGGTGGGTTGCAAGGTTATCCATCAGGTGCTATGCTCGCTGCTCTGGGTGATGGATCGTTCATACACCACGCCTCATTTACCCACATAACAGACTTGTACATGTACCCTTGGAACCTAAAATAAAAGCAGTAGAAGGAAAAATGCTGTAATTTAAAAAAATTATTTTATTTTTATTTGTTGCTGATGTTTAAGAAAACAATAGATTTTTATATATTGACTTTGTAACTAGCAAAACTTGCTAATGATTTATGTTTGGTCTAATGATTTGTCTGTACGGTCTCTTGAGTTTTCTACAAAATCTGGCTGTCTGTGACCTGATGTAATTTTCTTTCGTTCTGTCCTCTCCTTATGTTTTTCATTTCTTTTTTATGTCTCACAGTGCTAGCTAGGACCAGCAATAAAATGCGGACAAGAAACAAGGAGAGTAGGCGCTCTTTCTTCTTCCCAACTTTAAAGAGAATGCTTTCAATGTTTTGCCGTAAAATGTAATGTTTTCTCTGGGGTTTGGATAGATACTGTGTCTCCAGATAAGAAAGTTCCTTTCTATTATTTTATTAAATATTTTTAAATTGTGAAAATGTTCTGAGTTTTAATCATCTATTCTGTCTGTGTCTATTGAGATGATCATATATGTATCTTGTCCTTTAATCAGTAAATGAGACAAAAGATTTCTCTAAAATTAGATGACTTTTTCAATCCTGGGACAAGGATTATATCAGCTTCCTAACACTTGGGAAATACATCCTTGAGTGTTTGGAGTAGAACCCACTAACAGAACTTTTGACTTAATGTTGTTTCTTTTCTTGGCGAGTAGATTTTTAATTACTGATTTAAATTATTTCACGATGATCACTCTACTCAAATATTCTAATTTTTATTGTGAACAGGTTTGATATGTTGTATTTTCTTCTCAAGAAATATTGCCATTTCATTCAAATGGTTCACAGTGTTTTCTACTGTTTTAAAGTTTTACTAAATCTACCCATATGCCCTCTTCTCCATCCATAACAGTTTTGTTTCGTCCCATTAAACACTCCACTCCACCTCTTGCAAACTAGCACAATCTTGTCAGAGATTTTTTGTATTTTATTAGTTTATTTCTTTCAGTGAATAAGCTTTGAGATGTGGGGGGCCTTGTTGATAATTTATTTTTCATTCCCATGTTTACATATTTATCTTACCAATTTTCTCCTAGTCTAATATTCTAACATTCCAAGGTAAGGTATAAATTTTCTGTAGATACCACTTTAGCTGCATGCCAAGGTTTTGAATGGTAGTGTTATAATTATCATCAAATTTTAAATATTTTGCAGTACCTATTATGATTCCTCATTTAAAGCTTATTTAAATGCATTTTCAAAGTTTCTTTGATTATTGATTTCTGATTAAATTGTGTTTAGGTCAGAGAATATGATCTGTATGACAAATTGTTTAGTCTTTATTGAGCCTTACTTTTTGGCTGGCAAGTCGTCAGATTTTGCAATTGTTCTACATCTACTGGAGAAAGTATAATTAATTGCTAGTGGTTGGGTAGGGCTCTGTACATCCACTAAATTAAATTAAGCTGTTGCTTTCTTCCATTTATTTACCAATTTTCATCTGCCTGGTTTATAAATAACAAAATGAGTTATGTTAAAATCACTCTCTTATGATAGATTTGTCCATATCTTCTTGAGATTCTGCCTTTTTATTCTTTATATAATTTGAGGCTGTGTCTTAGGCACATAGAAACTCAGAATTTATTGTCTTTCTAAAAGAATTATTCCATTTGTTATGTAATGATCCTTTTTATTATTAATAATGTTTTTATCTTAATATTTATTTTGTTTGGTATTAATCTAGTTAGCTCAGTTTTAAAAATATTCACCTGGTATTTCTTTCTTACCTGTTTACTTTGAACACATGTGACTCATTATGTTTCTGGGTGTGTTTCTTCCAACACTATATAACTGGATTTATTCTTAACCAATCCGATGTTTGTCTTTTAAATGATGAGTTTATTTCAGCTATATTCTGATTGCTAGTAATTTTAGATTTATTTCTATTATTTCAGTTTGCGCTTTCTATATACTATGCTTCCCTCCCCGCCTTACTTTCTATCATACTAATTTTCATTAATCTTCTTCTTTTCCTCTGCTTATCTAGCAGTGGTCACTTTTAACATTTTAAAGCATGGTTGATTTGACATCATTTAAAATTATTCAGTATTTCTGCTTGCTTTTAGAATAGTAGCAGGGTATTAGAAAACTTTCAACTTTCTAGTACCCATCTTAAATGCTGTTATTCAATATTTTAGTGTTATCTTGTTTTTAGGAACACTAATGATTTACCCACATGTTTACCGTTGGGTAAACAAGTAAACTTTCCTCTAACTGCTCCTCTGAATTATCTCCTTCATTCCTGAAATACTTCCTTTAGTAGATCTCTTAGAGATAGTGTCTTGGTGGTAAATTCCCTCGGTCTTCCTTTAAAATGTCTTTAGTTTTGTTTTGCCCTTAGTCTTAAATACAAATTTATCTGGATATAGAAATTTAGGTGTATATATAATTTTAGAATTTAATGTAAATATAATTTCATTTTCTTTCTATATGTACATCTTGCTGAGAAGTCTAATTGTCATTTCATGTGAGTAACTTGTCATTTCTCTCTGATAGCTTTAAAGGTTGTTATTGTTTTCTCTTTTCTCTGTCTTTGGTGTCCTGAAGTTTCATTATGATTTGTCTAGTTAGGGTTTTTTTTGGTGGTGGTTTATTCTGCTCAGGACTTCTGAAATCTGCACTTCTTGAATCTGAATAATTCATTTGTTTGTCAGTTCAGAAATTTATCTGCTATTGTTTCTTTGAGTGTTCCTTATCCTACCATTCCTTCTATTATTTTCTCCTAAGTATTAAGTTATTATAGCCTTTTCTTTGCATCACCCATATTTTAATGGTTTTAAATATTTTATATCTCTTTGCTTTTCTGTTACATGACAGTTAATTTTGAAAAATAATTTCAAAGTTCAGTAGACCACTCTTGAAGCATATTTAATCTCTTACACCTATCCATTTAGTTTTAATTTCGATGTCTATTTAAATTTTTCCTGTTCTATGTGGTTCTCTCCCAAATCTATAGATTTTTTATACTGTCTTCCTTTATTATTTAAAATGCTGATATCTAAAAGTCTTTCTTTAATAGTTCTATATTATAGGCCTAATCTTGTTTCGGGAATTCTGTGGAGATTGTGTGCCTCTTGCGTTTTCTTCCCCCTAATGGTCCCAGGGTATTATCTACTTATAACTGCTTTTTTTTTCAGTGGAGTTCGTGGCTTGGGAGATCTGAAGTTATTCAAGTAGCATAAATTTGAATTCAAATCCATGTGCGTGAAGGCCTATGATAAGAATTCTGAGGGGAGGTTATTTTTTTTCTTACCCACTCTGCCCAAGCCAAGAACCGCAAGCATCCTTGTTCTCCTTTAGGACAGTGAGTAAACGTTTTCTTTCATCCATTCTTTTAAGGATAATGTCGCAATTTAAAGCTTCAGATTTATGCAGTTGTCTTAGTTCCAACCTTCTGCCTTGTATTCATTCAAAACCTTGTTTCCAACCTGTGTATCTATTAAAATTCAGGTCATTATGTTTCCCAGATTGGGGATCAATCCCTGCAGTGTAAGCTACCAGATTCGTTATTCTGGCTTTTTGTACCTCTTTGTTTCTGTGCTCTTGGGGATACTTCTTATGGGCTCTGCAATACATTCACAAGAAATTATTTTACACATTATTGAATTTTTCTAGATGTTTTTATTAAGAGTTGTGTGGGTTATTTTGTCTATAACAGCACAAATGAAAGTTTTTTTATCTGCTATTCTCCTTTTGAGGTATGATACATAATGACACTATTTTGTTTTAGCCAAAAAGTGCTTATCTTTTAATCAAGATTCAATTCATTCATATTTCTTTTTTTTTTTTTTTTTTTCCGACAAAGCCTTGCTTTGTCACCCAGGCTGGAGTGCACTGGCATGATCTCAGCTCACTACAACCTCCACCTACCAGGTTCAAGCGATTCTCT